CTGTGCGATGGCATTAAGTGACGTGACTGGTGACTCTCCCAAGGAAACTTCCTTGTTCCTTGACGACCGCACTGGCATTGAAGTCTCTACTTGGAGCGCCTCTAGCTTCGACGTCTTCAATCTGAGAAAGTAGTCTATCTCATGGTGCCACCATTAAGAGGGAGCCCTGATTGAAGCGTCCTTGCTTTAACTAGCTAACCAATAGTATGACTACATTTGACAACAGTATATGCGATTGTGTACCGTTAGATTTTATTTTTTAGGTGTAACGACTATTTCCAAATGTCTAACGACCTGGGTTTTTCAGATGTCTAACGACTCGGGTTTTCCAGATGTTTAATGATTTGAAAAAGGTGGTTATAATTTCGAACAGTAATTCGCATAAAAAAACATTAGTACATTATATATTAATGAAATATTATTATTATAATTATTATTTTTTTATTATTATTAAATCTTCATTGTTTTTATAGTGATTATAATTACATTAATAATTATGAAGAATAAAACATCTGATCTAACAGTAAATTTTCAAACATTTAAAAATCAATGACTTAAAATTAATTGTGTATATGCAGTAATAAATTCCAATAAATTTTTTAATTGCATAACATAAATAATGAATTCTTCCTTATTGAATCAAAATAAATATCATGAAAATATAATATTATTTTATTCAATAGTTTTATATCCCCGCCAATTTATTGACCAGCTCCGGCTATTAATTATGACCAAGATTGAATTTCATTAGGAGTTAAATAAAAAATTCAATACTATGTAAAAAATTAAAAAGTATAGATTAAATATAAATATAAAATTAATTATAATTTACAACAAATAATTAAAGAAAAATCTATATAATGAGAAATGACTATTAAATAATTTCCTAATTAAAAAATATTCACCTTTGATTGCATTTATGATAATACTACTACAAGTTATAGATACGTTAAATAGAAGATAATAATATAGTGAATCTTAGAAGATATTGTCATTAACAAACTATTGGACTTATATACTAGATCATTGATTGAAATTTTTTTATATTCAATATCATGATATTACGTAAGAACATGTGTAATAGCGTAGCTTACGTGTGTGGAGTCGATCACAATTGTATTGATGGTACGTAAGGACGTGTGTAATAGCGTAGTTTACGTGTGTTGAGGTCGATCCTTGGGTATTGGAGGTGATTCCTATGTAAGTGGTGTTTGACTTATAGGACGATGATCCGATCTTGATGTCTGCTTGATTAAACTAGTAAGAGGACGAGAGAGTCAAGTGCAGCTCCTTAAATATTCTCGTACGAACTTGCTGCGCCGATAGCGCATTGGTGGCTGTTGCTATGCCGATATTTGTCGTGACGTCAACAGGGTATAGCCTTGTAGGGTTCATTTGTTATTACTTTTGGAAATTATAGTCGTTTATTCGAGTTTTTTGGTTAGAAGCATTCTTCGAGTTCGTTTGCCATTTGTTTATAAAATAAATGTTCGCGCGCTCATACCTCTCCCACTTTTATTTCACTTAAAACTGCTGCAATCCGTAACAATAATATTATACTATGTTCGGGATTGAAGCAATTTTCAAGACCGCCGATTGTCGGCATCGCCGGACTTTTTAGATCTCAGGTTTTTGTAAATACTTTGACGAGAATTTTCGTATACTTCTTATGTTTTGGTTTCAGATGGCCCACAATGTTTATATGGCTTCGAGTAATAACATCGCCTGGATTTCTCTAAAGTTATTACGCCTTTTTTTTTGTCGAATTTTCGAAAGTTATAGATTTTTCTTTCTGCACCTCATGTAAGATTCCAGCGCAGCAACAACGATGCCTTGTTGCCCGATAAGTAAGCTGCCGCGTAGATATATAAGGTAAGCACACAGCGAGCCTCACTCTCTTGCTGCGAACCACTTGCCGTGACCCTACCGCAATGAACCGTACTAACAGCGAATCCTCTACCAGAAGGAGCCATGGCACGGGTCTCGGTCTGCCCTCAGCAAGACCACCATGTAACGGTCGGTATGTTTCAGCAGAGCCGTCAGGAACCGATTAAACCTTCGGTTTTCGTGCACGTATCAACAGTCTTATAGTCTCATTGTGTATCATACGGTCAACAGTTATTACGTTATTCAGCTAGTGTTTTCGATCACGCACTAATCGCTCAGTTATATCACACAATGAAGCCATCAACGAGACACAAGCCTAATTACCAAGCATACCACATACATGCAAGCAGTCAAGGGTGCTGACTGCATTAAGAGAAACTTACATTGGCATCCAAAGAGACGCAAGTGTAATTGCCAAGCGTGCCACACACATACAAGCAGTCAAGGATGCTGATTGCATGACGAGAAATTACACTATCATAAACAAGCATAGTCTCCAGGTATGTCCATTCGTATATATATTCTCAAGGCTACATGTCCTACACAGGAGTGTGAGCACAGTACTACTAATTCCTGGCATTATTAGCAGAGGCCATTCGTTCGTATACACATTTCTTAAGGCTACACATCCTATATACTGCTAGTCCTTACAACACAGAAGCCACGACATCGTCACCATGAAGAAGCAACCTCATTATTGAGACAAGACAGAGTTTTACACTCTTCTATAAGAAGTGAACCATGCTTATAATAAATGTAATTGTTAATAAATTATATGTTACCAAAGTTTGCACATATTATACCTTTCTATAACCCTTCCACTTGACTTACACTTAAGCATCTACCAGAGCGGACGGTAAATTATTAAAGCTATCGAAACACTGGTAGTTCGAGCCAGAAAATGACATCACTTTCGAACATACTATTTCGAACATATATATTTTAGATAGTGACCAGAATTTTTCTGATGCCTTTTAATGGTTTTCACATATGTTTCAAGTACACCATCTTCATATTTAGATAATAAATTAATAAAATAGCTAGTACTACTATTTAGGTGCTACTTTAATATTTTGTTTATTCATGTAGATGCTTTTAGTTAAATAAAATATACTTATATTTAAAATATTAGTATTTAGTTCACAAAAATAATTTAAAAACAATACTTAACTTAAACTTAATAGATTGAAAAGATATCTCTAAAAATATATAGATTATATTTATATTAAACAAATTTTAAAAACTAGAAATACATGTTACATAGAATCTTCATTAATTATAACTCATAATTTTCTAATCAATATATAATACTATGTAATATATAATAATATATCTAAATAATACTCTTAATAATTCAAGCTAAGAATACTATTTTTAGATTTATAAAATTTCACTATAAATTGGTGGTGTTAAATTCTCTATTACATCTCTTCTATTGCTCAATGTTTTCTTGCAAGACTACATAATTAATACATTGATAAATTATATTTTCATTAAATGGTACATTATTACGCACGCAATAATACGTAGTACCTACATTATTAAGATATATTTATTACTTTAGGTATGATCGTATGCACGGCTGAAATCTTGAAAAATAATTGAAATGTATATGATTATATTACTCTTGGAAAGTTTTGAAATAGTAGCAGCTATAAATAATATTTTATTTATTGATAAACAAACTTAATTATGAACAAAATATTTTTGTTATAACTATAATATATAATTTTTATAATTGTATGCAAAAATAAATGAAAAAATTAAACAGACTGCTTAATCTAATAATTATATTATCCAAAGTTAGGCAAATTATTTAACAAAGATATACAAAGATAACATTATAAAAACTCTGACCAAAAAATAACCACTATTATTGTAAAAACGAAAACTCTATAAACATAAAGATGACAAGAATAATCTACGATAATTTTTAAATATTTACATTGAAATTTAACTTTTTAAAGTAATTCTAAATTATTAAAAGTAAAAACAAGATATTTTTAATATATTTGTGTAATTTATGAAATCATTACTTGATAAAAGTTTTTATAATTTGACTAAGATACTAAAAGATTTCATTCCGTAAAGAATTATAAGTATTTTAAAAATCTTAAATATAAATCTAATATAGAAGTTGTGCAAGCTGCGCCTCCTTTTTAAATAATTAATCTTATATACAAATTTTACTGACCAATTCTGTAATTTATTAATTTCATTGGAATATTGTTTATAGTAAAAATATATAACATTTTTAATATTTAAAATTGAAGCACAAACACATTATTAAAATTTAAAATACATATATTGTCTGGGATCAGACTAAAAACCTCCTTATGATGGTGGGTGGAGACTTGCTCAATTATTCAATACTGCCTTTAATGTTAATAATCTTTCCTTTTATTAAATATAATAAATAATGAATAGTTAATAACTATGAATATTGCAATGAGTATGTGATAGAATGAATATATTGGTGTTTCTTCAGTAATGGTGGTGGCGATAAGCCTGTACGTGTATTCTTGATAGCCTGAAGTGTGATTCCCCTTCTTCCTTTGGGTTGAGTAGTGTAGCGGGGAAGTCGTGGTGGTAGGGGCAGCAAGTTAGTGTCGTCTTGGCAGCCGCCGAGGGGTGAGCTGTAGTGTAGTGTGAGCCGAAGTGGTGGGAGAACGTCCGTGTGACGTCACAGCTTTTGTCCGTGAGCTCAAAGGTTATGGTGATATTGGTGCACGTTCGTGTGCTCGATGCGAGCGTAACCCGCGGTGTGAGGTAATATGCAAGAACGAGCGTCGGCGTTGCTTGCACATGGTGGCGGGAACTGCGTGCTGATAGTAAGAACGAGCGTCGGCGTTGCTTACACCTGGTGGCGGGAACTGCGTGATGGGTGCTTGTTACTAGAAGAAGGAATCGCGGCGCGTGCAGCTTTTTAAATATTCTCGGACGAACTCGAGGCGCCGATAGCGCATCGGTGGCTGTTACTATGCCGCTATTTTTCGTGACGTCAATAGCGCATAGCATTGCCGGGTTCATTTGTTAGTATTTCTCGGAATTATAGTCATACATTCGAGTTTTTCGGCTAGAAGCATTCGTTGAGTCCGTTGGCCACTGTTTACCAAACAATGTTTCGCGCGCTCATATCTCTCCCACTTTGTATTCCGCTTAAAAATGCTGTAGTCCGTAACATATATGAATAACCACGATATAAAAGTATTTTAATTTAAGTGTTTTATTATATATTTTTAATATGTTTTTTGGCAAACTATATTGAATCACTTTCATGTTTAAACGTTTAAAAGTTGTTAACAATATATTACAAGATAAAGTTCTGTATTCAGATTAATAATAAATTATGTTAATTTTATATTAAATTTTTTTTTAATTTGTCAGCCAAATTATACTTGCTTTTATTACTTTAAATATTTAATCTATCTTACATATTTATTAAAAGATTTCATAAAATATTATAATTCATATTTTTAAATAGTAATTTTATAGATTTTTTTTTATTAAAATTTTTATTATTTTTGAAAAATGATTATTACCTATTTTGCTTTTAGTTTACTTAAAATATTAAATTATCACCAACTGATAAATGTATTTCAAATGAAGTATATTATACGTTATTATTAGAATACACTCTATAGTTATAATTACCATATGAAATACGCTTCATAGAAATATTCAATTTAAGTTCATTCTTGTATGAATCAATAAATTTATTAATTATTTTATCAAATAATTTGAAGTAGAAAAAAATTTTATAAATAAAAAATATTAAATATCAATTTTAATAGGTGACCATTTATTTTAAAAACTGTTATTACTTACTGAACCATACAAAAGTCCAGATGAATTCATACATAAGTAGAAACACGTTATTATAGCTTGAATTTTAAGTTGACCACGTAACACTGATATTCGTTGAAAAATGGCTATAGAAGATATATAATATTATTATATAAATATATAGGAAAAATTGATTAATTAAATAGTTAATTACTTAAATAGTGCTTACTACTATGCTATGTGTTATGCTACTTAAAATAGAATATAAAATACAAGAAGTCAAATAAATTATTTAATTTTGTTTAGAATTAGACTATGGCCACCAGTTTCCTAGTGGGAGAAAAGTGTAGGTAAGTGGAAGGGGCGCTTCAATTCAGTATTTAACACATTTGCTTTTCGTGCTCGGTATTTCGTTTATTTTACAACTAAAATATAATGATTCTACGTTGATGAAGAGAATCATTGAGATCGTGCCGTTTCTTGCTTGTTGCCACGTGGTGTCAGCATGCACTATATGTAGAGATAGGAGGTCGTAAATCTTCGGATCCTCTTGACGCAGTACCTCTTGCCGATGTGAGTACCATTTTGCCAATGGATAACTGCCCGCTATGCAGAGGTTCTGGAGTTGGGGTACGGTTTCGGTTAGCTGTTGCAGCGTGTCTGCATCTCCAAAGATGTCATAGGAATATCTGCCATAAGTGATAGATAGTACTGCCAAAAGGTTCTCTCTCCCTCGTCTTCTACCAGTTGCAGCAATGTTTTGACTGCTATAGATGGGGCGGCTGTCGTGCCATATGTAACTCTGGTCAGATGATATGGTACTTCCTTGTTTTGTTCGTCGATCCAAAGGATTCTCTGTAGATTCCAGTCGTCCTTGTGAATTCGTATTTGCCTATAAATTTTTTTGTACAAATTAACAAGTCTGAAATTTCTGAGTTCAAATTGACTCCAGTGTACATAAGATCATAGATCGAGTGTCCTGATCTCGAAGCGCTGGAGCCGTTGAACACCACTCTTAGCCTAGTGGTAGTGCTACCTGGTTTGGTTGAAGTCGTGATTTGTTCTTCATGCTGTAGTGTATTATGCCGTTTGTGACTTAACATAAGTGTCGGTTACTTACGAAACTCTTTCATTCCGCTATCGACATTTCTTTGAACGTTGGGCATACGGTAAACAAATGTTCTTGGTGGCAGTAGTCTTGTCATCCTTTTGGCTTTCTTGTGGGCTCTATTATTCAGTCTTTACTGACGACTGTTAAGCCTTCACTGACCTCTTTTATTGCCCTCACTCGAGGCATTAGGAATATTTTGAGTTGCTCAAACTCTCTTGTGTATTGGGTGAGACTTTGTGTGACTTGGTGGACGTTTAAGCAGTCCCATTTGTCAACTTTGATGTTTAATAGGCACAACTTTTTTAGCATGTCATTTCCATCACTAATTACATATTCTACCAACCCTGTTTCATCTTTCAATGTTGATGAGTTGAAGAGGAGTTAGTTGGGGCGAGATTGGATTGATGGTCGGCAGTTTTCATATCGCTCTGTTAGATTCTTCCATACCAATGCAAGAAAGTCATTTTATAGTGAAAACCCCGAGATGACCTTGGCTGCCGAGCCTTCTAGTGATGCACGGAGGTATTACAGTTTTTGTCTCACTGAGCCTATGGCTTTTCAGGGTTGAGTGAAATAGATCTCAAAACATAGGTCATGCTAAATAATCATCTCAAAATTTGGGAATTGGAATGTCTGGATTCTTCCCTTGATTGCCCGATCGTTGGTGATGCATCTTCCGACTTTGTGGTTGATCTTGTTGACTCATTTAATCCATGATGTAGTTTGTTGATGAGTGATTGCACAATTGACTACTGGTCAAATTCTTCCTCTTGCGCGTTCTTCATGAAGTATTCATGGATTTTCAACGCTGCCGGCCATGTTAAGTCAAGATAGCTGTGCTCTTTGTTAAAGGCCTTGCGTAAATCTTCAACCTGTTCTTTCACGCCTAATACTTCTTCAATGAATGTGTCCAAGTGAGATATAAGGAGCTCTTTAGATAGCTTCATTATTGCTGTAATACGATTCCATTGACTTTGAACTTTCAAAAGCTCAGCGGGTAATCGCTCTGTAGCGACGCTGCGGGTTATGCGTTCTTCCCTTTCTTATGTGAATGATATGAATATGATCAGATAGTGTAGCGGCACGTCTGATTGTCGTGTGAATACTGAAGGAATATAATTATAGAATTTCATTAATTGCTAAACTAAGCATAAACTATCAATTCTTAATGCTTTGAAGTTAATGTTTAAAAATATTTTAAATTGTAAAAGTTAACAATAATTAATTTGTTATTGTAACATAAAAATAAATTACATTTTTAATGATAGTATTTTATCTGAAAAATTATATAACAATTGTTAGATTTATTTATTATTTAAATACTATATCATTACCAAATATATTTTGTTTTACATATAACCCGTATATTCATAATTTGAATTGCCTTAGAGTTTGAGTTGTTAGATAGATACAATTTTACTTATTTTAATTTTATTATCATTGGTAAATCTTTTCATAAGTTGTCGTTATTTATAACTTATAACTAAGCTTAATTTTACTTTTTTCAAATATATGTTCATAATAGATAATTATTTAAAAATCGAGTAAACGAATTGATTAAAACTAATAAATTAATAGTAGTATAAATTACTCCATGTTGAACGAGAGATAATTATAAATCATAGGAATATGAAAAGTTGTAGAATAATATTTAATGATATTAAACCAAATTTGAATAAATAAAATGAAGACCGAATTAAGATTTGATATACATTATGATTCAAAATGTTTAAATTGATATGATAAATATAAGATATTTTAAAAAAAATTTTATAACTGTGTTAATTTACTTATTTATTACATCTCTATATATCCATAATTACCAGTCATTTTTTGTACCGTCAGTAAAAAAAAAATTTAATGATAATGAATCTCTTAGTATACAAACAACAATCAAATTAATTTTTAACTATAACATTGTAAGAGACAAGTTTTCTATCATTTAAAAATAAAAATAATACTTTAACTGATCTTATATATAGATAATCCACTCCATATAGTCAATTAATTTATTAAGAAATTATCAAACTCCTCCCCGGACGAGCCCCCACACGCACAGCGGCGGCTTATCACGCACATTGGCAGCTCGTTACGCACAGCGGCGGCTTATCACGCACAGCGGCGTGAAAATTTCATTTAAATTTTGCGACAGTTTATATTATATATATATATATATATATATATATATATATACCTATGCAATAACATATACATTTATAACAATTTATATAACAAATGTAAGATATTTTAAAATTAAATTATTTATATAATAGTGTAAGTCTTCTTTATTATTATTTCACTGTATATATACAATTAATTAACATTTCTTTAAATCATCAGTATATATATATATTTTTTAAGTAATAAATTTAAGTTTTTTATATTAATCTAATATGCTTTTTTAAATGATTAAGTATATAATTCTCCAATTAATTAATTCTAACAGGTCTCTATTTTAAGTAAAGACGACGTCACTATTCGCATTTTTTAATTCTATTTTTATCGAATATTTCTTGTACTTTAAATATGTATAGTCTCTTTTAATAAAAAATATTTTATTTTTCCTTCTAAAATAATAATTTAATAATCTTAATGTAAATATTATCCAATATTTCATACACAATAATTAAAAAGTAACAAAACATAAATAAATTTTACTGTAACTAAAAAACTGTTTTTCCTATTACTTCATGCCAATTACATAAAATCGATCATAACTCTTTATTTTTGTTAAAGCTGTACGAACACAATATATCCACGAGACATTATTATATTTGTAAGCATTAATTCTAATGTTCGAGAATGTAAGAAGACTTATCCGGCTTGAAGGACCAAAATGTCTGAGAGCAGACTAAAAGCTTCCCTGAGATGATGTGTGGGAGGCTTGCTGGCAAGTGGAATGGACAATGCAATAATTCAACACTGCCTTTGTATAAGTTGGTTTTCCCTTTATTGAATATAATGATATAATAAATAATCAGTGGTCTATTGAGGTGAGATTGAATGTATAATATAACGAACAGATGAGAGTTTCTTCTAGTAATGTGAGTGATGATAAATTTGTAAGTGTATTCTTGATATGGCGCGTGATTCTCCTACTCGTGTTATGACTCGTAGTGGTAGTGGAAGATGCACTGATGAGGGGTAATTATGACGCCGTGAAGAGTGTCGCGCTGTAAGGGGACAACGTTGGTGCCGCCGTTGCCGCTACCGATAAGCTGAAGAGACCTGAGTGGGGCGCTTGTGTGACGTCACTGATGAAGGGCAATGGTGCCGTTGTCTAGATATTGCTGCTTACTTAGTTCACGGAGCCGTGTGTTAGTGATTCGTCAGAACGTGTGTAATAGCATGATTTACGTGTAGTGAGGTCGATCCGTGTGGTGATAGTAAGCCGAATGTGCCTAGCATACGTGTTAGTTGGAGTCAATCTGTTCGAATTGGAGGTGATCTCTGTGTAAGTGGTGTTGGCTTGTAGGACGGCGATCTGATCTTGATGACTGCTTGATTAAACTAGTAAGAGTCGAAGAATTAAAAGTCGAAAAAAGCGAACTCTCGACTATTCGAGATATAAACATTCAAACGCGCCTCGGATTAACTAAATCTAAACAATTCAGCAAAACCTCGAATATCTAAAGAAAATACAATTCATAAACACATCTGGCGGGAACAAAAGTCCAAGTATCGACGACAAGTCATAAAACATCTGGCGTACACAAGTCATAAAATTAGTCTGTAAAACACAAGCCAGATGATACACTCAAAAACAATGCTACACCTTACCTTCACAACACTGACCGATCGCAACGCGCATGATTACAAGAAATGCATGCGACAATGCCAGGATTGAGAGGGAAAAGCGCGGCATCAAGACCCCCCATCATGGAAGGGAGTTGAGCAAGACCCGCTCTCATTAGAGCCTCCATCTTGGAAAGACTCACTGGTGGGAGACCCCACCACTCAAAAGGTGCTTTGATAAGAAATTCCATAAAATAAAGAAGACTTCTGATTGGACACACTAATAAGACTAAATCTCATTGGCGACGCCATGATCGACAAGACAGCTCTGATTGGCGACACGAAAAGAGAGGGAAATCTCACCGACCACCGCGTGGTCGAGAGAAGGCTTTAAAAAGACAACGCCGGCAAGGCACAATCACTTATCTTATCTTATCTAACAGAAAAAGAACAAATCAATTAAACGCAAAAGTCCAAGATTAATCTATTCAACACAAGTACTAGATAATCAAATCATACACTCGCAGTAGTGCAATACAATTAAAAAAGGGAATCGAGAACTACGAATATCAGTTCGCACAGTATACACAATCAAACTGCAGGAAGCCACACGAGGCAACTCAAAGAACAAGACAAAACATAGCTATACACAACGTGCAGACTCATGAGGTAACGTTCCATTCCAAATTAATACATAACTATATCAAGCCATATGCGCCAATCTGCAGATACGTAAAGCTATCTGCAAAACATTAAGCAATTCAAGCAACACCACCTGCTCATATACAAGGAAGCGCGGGGGTTTACGACCTCGCTCTTCTGTGTATATTATTCCATCTACACGTGTGTTACATATAGAGAACCAGCAAGGCATCAACTTCTTCCTGTGTATGCGACTTACGTGATAGCTCAGTGGCAATAAAACATACAAATCAAGAAAAGTAAAAAAATCAATTATAAAAATAAATCTCATTATAATTCAACTAATGTAATTATATAAATAAAATAAAACTAAATAACAAAACTACTCTTTATTGAATACATGTACTATCTTGTTCACTAGCCTGCAATCCTCCTTTCAACATCGGGAACTCACACCTAATCTTAGTTACTTGGCCCTCCTCGCCCGGTGCTCCATTTTTAGACACTATTATACCTGAATATTTATTTTAAGTTCTACATTTTAAATTTGAATAAAATTAATTAAGATGAATTGTATTTCTTTATTATATTTATTTATATTATAAATTATATTTATTATAATTTGATTATATTTATTTTTATATGTTAAGCAAAAATACTTAAAATAATGATTAATTATATATATATAAATAATTAATGAATGATGATAATATTGAAGAAAAGTTTGAATATTGTGTTTAGTAATCCTATACATATAACTTGATAAAATCGTTTTACTGTGATATCTTGTTAATCATATATTGACAATAAAATTAACATAACTCAAATTAGATTTAAAGAAATTTTAATATTAAATAACTTTCTCATTTACCCACATAATATAATAAATTACATATTACATATTAATAATTATATATTAATAAATATTATTCAATTAATTAAATTTGAGATTAAATTAAAATAATTGTTGTTTATCTTTATTAATTCACTATCTTATAATACATACAAAATTAATTTTTTGTTATTGTGACTACGGTTTTTCTTTATAATTAACAAAATTTTACGCCAATCTACATTTTGGTTTAATTCGTTTATAATAATACTATCAATGCCATTAGATTTATAAAAATAAATAATTTAATTTAGTCTAATTAAGCGTACTGCAATACCAATATTGTTATACTAGTAAAATTCGAGAAATTGATATATTCCTAATAAAAATATAAAAATAGTATGAAAATAATTTATCAAATTATCTTATAATATTATAAATTGATATTATCTTTTAAATGTATCATTTCGTGTAAGCAATCGAAAAACTGTAACTTCAGTAATTAATAAATCTAGATATTACAAGTTTAAATTTTTGTTAGTATTTTTATTAAATAAATAATCATTATTAATTTAAATTATTATATAAATTGAAATTAATTAAATAAAATAACAATGTATTTCGTATTAGTTAAATTAGAAACATAAAATATGTAAAATATTTCCAAAATATATTCTATAAAATGAAAAGTATGAGTATTGAAAAATAATATAGATCTCATATTATATTATATTTAATTAACATATTTTGGATAAAGTAACAATATAAAAAATATTTAAAACATTTTTCAAAAATAAATTAATATTAAAACTATTATTATCGTTTTTCATTAATTTTATTTAAATTTTATCTATAAAATAAATTGCTAAATAATTTATTTCAATTTGTATACTAGCAGAAAGGATCGTGATAAAATTGAATTATAATATATTTTTGCAATTTGAAGACATTTAAAGCAGTTCCCTTATATTGAAATTATAATATAAAATCACTTATGTTGATAAAATAATATCAGTATTATGTTTTAAATAAATTATAAACTAACTATAAGAAAAACAACTCACTATAATTCGAGATGTCATTATTAGAACCATTTACTGTACCATCGGGTAATATTTGTAAAAATCTGTTTTTTATATATATTTGTATTTTTCTAGATACACCAGTTATGTGGGATAAATTAGCAGCTCGTTCTGCTCGAACTCCTAAATCTTCTATGGTTACAGTTATGTTAGCAGTTGCTACAGCTATTATTGTATTAACTATGATCCCGTATAGGAAACTTGAAATTAGTTTCATAGCTCATAAAATTTCAATGCCATAAATTTTTATATACTTCTGGTTATATTTTTACAAATTATTTTTGTCTGAAATCTAAAAAAGTGAATTTAAGACATATTACTCATAAATATTGTAAATTTATTAATTGTCTAAATAGTCATAATATGGGAAATGTTATAAAGTAATGGAAATATAAAGAAGAAAAACTATAAGCATTTAACAATTTAAAAAATATTTATTATACCTTCAAAATCATATATATTTAAAATTTAAGCCTTATCAAATGTTAACTCCATAATATTTTATATTAGTTTTTTTGGAAGGATTACAGTAATAATTGTATGAAACACGATAAAAACGAAAAATATAATTACATTTAAAATCTATCAAATTTTGATTAATTGAAAAAAAGTAATTAATATTTGACTTGTATTCAAAATAAATATTATTACTTTTATTAATATTAAAATCTTAAATTATTAATTTAATATTAAAATAAAATTAATATTAAAATAAAACAGTTTACCGAATTTCACATGTTTATAATTCTTTATATTTAAATAAATTGTTTACGTAATATTCAAAGATTATATTTGTTTCTAGGAACTTGATTTTATGTGATAAATTAGATGGAAATTATTAAATTACTTCAAGTTTAAAAATCTAATTAAACTCACAATAATATATTATATTTTCATTTTTACTTACTATTTTTTCGGTTTTATTACTAATATATATTTCAGTTTTCTTTTATATTATATTTTCTCAATGAAATAATTACAATTCTTGTATTTGATATTATTTTAGAAATTCGTTATTAATAAATAAATGTCCACAGATATATATTACAACTTGAATGGTATATATATTGTATGAATATTCGTACGCGCGAGCTTATATGTAAGGCTTCGAGCATGTGTACATACGTGAAAATGTGTGATCAAGGATAATATAGAATTATTATATTTAAATATATATTATTAAATTTAAAACAAAAAATTTAATTTATATTTAACATTGTATAGACATTATTAAAAAGTAAAAAGCACGTGTATCTTTTTTTAATAAAAGAACTATTAGACTTAAGTAAAATTTAAAAATTTAACATTTGATGATACTGACTTCAAGTATGAACAGAGACTGAATTTGTCATGGAGTATTCTCTTCTTTATATATATTCATCTGCTTAATTCTCATTCTTTTATCACTATAATACATTCGCAGGTATTTGATCACATACGATATAATAAACTGTATTTAATAGTTTTAAAATACTAATAATAATAAATCAGAAACATATATATTCACTGTATAATATTAATATAAATATATTTGAATTAAATTAATGAGTATTCTATTCTATATTATTTCAAATAAAATGCTTACTTATATGTGATTGGGTACATAAATATATCTCATATATTTAGTTATAAAATTAAACTATTTATAGATATCTTTTACTATATATATAATCATTCTATTGTATATATAAAATATAAAACCGTACAAATATAACCATATAATCATCAAATTATTAATGTTTATAGTTATTAACAATTTTAAATAAATGAGTAAATGATCTTTTGAAAAACAATAGCAATTCTTAATCCAATATGTTTGACAATAAATATAAATGTTCTTTTGCATTATTAGGCTACATTATTATTTTTATATTAATTTTTGCTATTGCAAGTACTTTTCAAAATCTTATGTTAATACATGATAATTATTGTATTTCATATATAATTTAAAACAATAAGCCACACAATGCATTCAACAAATAAATTTTTTCTTCTATAGAATGAATCCATAAACCAATCAGAAAATACGCGATGATTACAAAAACTAAATCATTCTCGGTTATTCATAATTTATTTTGTCTTATTTAAAATCTCTCCCGTTTTATTGTAAATACATTAAATCACGATATAAATGTATTTATACATTTGCATACGAATATACATCAAATTATTCTTAACAGATTAAATTAAATCAAAAAACATTTTTACATTTACATTTAGAACTTGAATTTGAGGTTATTTTACGTATCATAAAAAATTATTTATTTTTAATAAATCTTGAAAAATCAAAGAATTATTGAATAATCCTAGTCTTGACTTAGTTCTACGAAAGATCTTAACAGATAAAGAATAAAAAAAATTGTATTTCATAATTTAACACTTATATGTATGAACAAAATATTTAACAACTAATTTTAATCTATTTTCGATGTATACATTTAAAATTTTTAAGAAAGGTATGAAATATAATATTTTTATAAAATAAATTTTGTATATCAATATTTAATCTTTAAATAATATTCTTCACGTCTTGTATATCATAATACATATGATAATAATTTAAATAACATTGATTACGGACAATCTTTTAATGTTTTATTCGATTAATGTTTATAATATATTTTAATTAATATGTTTAAAAAGTTAAAATATTATTGAATTTCAATATTTAAAATTTTTTTATCTTGTTTTTATATTGATAAAAAATTATATTTAATTACTTGTACATGATACTTTTTTATTTTAATGATAACATTACTTAAAATAAAATAGTTATAATTAAATAAACTTTTAGAATTAAAGAAAAATAAACAGATAGAAATTATAAATTGCAAAATTAAATTAAAAGTAAATTCTAAAATATTATTTTAGAAGTCAAGTTTACGTGTAGTTTCGGTCCTTACATTTTTCATGTTTTTGCTATGTGAGTTTGATAATTAAATAATTTAAAACTTTTAAATGACAACACGACTAATTTAGTAATATTAATTAAAAAACAATATATTTCAATTTTATATTTATATTTTTTACTTTTTATAATTTTTTTACTGGTTTAATATTATTAGTATACGATACTGGAAACAATATATATTCATATAATTTACTTATTAGAACTTCTAATGTTTCTAAATATTCAAAAATTTTCTTACTATATTATTTATAAATTAAAAATGCAATAATAGAATCTATTCAGTATAAAATACAAGTGGTTTATTTTTCGTCATTCTTAAATATTCCAATTTTAAGAGTAAAGTATAAAATAATTTGATTAATAAATGAACGTCCGTAAAAACCAATATTTTATGGACAACATTATAGTATAACAAAATAACTATATCCAAATAAATAACTCTTTTAATAATTTATTATATATACAATTCCAATTTTTGTTGAAGACGGTAAGAAATTTAACAAAATGACACAATTAGTAAAATAAATAAACAACATGTAATTGATTCGTTATAATTAAATATAATATTAATTTGAAGAAATAAATAATAAACATTCATGTACTTTTAATTTTAATGAAAATCTCTATATAATTATACTTTGTTTATAATCATTTATTAATCGGTAAATTTATATAGTTCTCATTATGATATAATACATTTACCATGAGAATTACATTTATTATATGGGCATGTCAAAGTTAATCGATAGTAAATATTGAACTGATTAAGTATGGTCCTCTTTTTTTTAAAACAAATAATTTGCTTGTTGATTATGCTTGAATTATCTTTTTTCTTAGAATGCTGATATAACTATGAACTACAATACTTTTTATTATAGATTTATAACAGATTTGATTTGAATGGAAAATTGAAAAAATCTGACCATTCTATCACTTTAAATTAAATCTGACTTGGAACCGATTTAGATTATTCAGAAAAACGAGCATGTATTAAATGGAAATTTAGATTAAATAAGGTTTTCTAAGTTTTTGAAAATATCACAATTCTATTGAGTTAATTCAACGTCTTTAAAATATTCATATTTTTTACTTTATTATTTCGTAATAAGTCAGTAATGTACTTTAATATCAATAATAAATAATTTATATTAATTATGAATTAATAATTCTTATGCTCCAGTCTAATCCATAATAGTTCATAATAGTTTTTCTGATCCATTCTAAATAGAATTTCGAAAAATATATTCTTAAAGAGTATAGTTAAATATATATATTTAAAAATTCTCGTAAATGGAAAAAGAAAGCTAATGAAAGCATGTGTTCGAATTTAGAATTGTATGTCGAATTTCTTGTTATGCGTACATGAAAGATCGTATAATAGAACTCTCTTTAATTGTTAAATTTCTAAGCCTAATGATAAAATCTAGTCTATCAAAAAATATAAATTGTTTTGATCGCAAACGCGTTACCTTCTTCATAAAGAATTTATCCTACGGGTAGTATAGTATGCAGTCAAGCAAATTAATCTGTATGTCATAAATAATTATAACAATAATTATAACTTTAACAACGTGCATCTAAATTTAATAATATTTTTTCAACTCTTTATTCAAAAATTGATGGTTAATGGGAGATTAAACAAAAAATTATTATAAAGATACAATAATCGTCAATACCAAAACATTATAAAAAATAATCAAATTGAGTAATTCACTGTAATAATATATGAAATATATTGTCTGAGATCAGACTAAAAGCTTACCTGAGATGGTGAGGGGAGGCTTGCTGGCAAGTGGAATGGACAATGCAATAATTCAATACTGCCTTTGTATGAGTTGGTTTTCCCTTTATTAAATCTAATTATATAATAAATAATCAGTTGTCTATTGAGGTGAGATTGAATGAATGATACAATGAATAGGTGAGAGTTTCTTCAGGTAATATGAGTGATAATAATCTTGTAAGTATATTCTTGATGTGGCGCTTGATTCTCCTACTCGTGGTTAGGACTCGTAGTGGTAGTGGGAGATGCGCTGATAAAGTGTAATGATGCCTTGAAGAGAGTCACGGTGTGAACGGGGAGTGTTGACGCCACCGATTGCCGCTACCGATGAGCTGGAGAGGCCTGAGTGGGGCGCTGGTGCGTGACGTCACTGTTGAAGAGAATTGATGCCGCCGTTGCCGCTACCGATAAGCTGGAGAGGCCGGAGTGGGGCGCTGGTGCGTGACGTCACTGGTGAGGAGAATTACTTAGGTATAAAGACCTAAACAGGTGTCTTAACCTCTCCCACTTTGTTTACCGCGTAAATGCTGCAATCCGTAACATTCCGCCCGCCATCATCAATTCATGGATGATTGATATCTGTATCCTC